GAAAGAGTGAAGGGGGAAAGGCACTCCAGCCCTGGCATGGTCCCTCACAGAAAGGAGATAAATAATCCACTGCGGTTGAAAATTCCAATCACTAGTAGCTGACTCTGAAAAGTACTAGATAATGTTATTTGTCTCTAGCAAAAGACTTACCTTTCTAACTTGCTCTGTTTAAATTTGGGGGGAGAGACCTGGGGCGGGGGGAATGTGTGGCAATGGTTGCAATGGAGAGAATGTAAACAGAGGGCTGGCCGAATGACGGGACACAAAGGCCAGAACAGCGGGCCAGTGACTGCAAGACAGGCAAAAGGAAGACGGCGGGGGGGGCGGGGGTGGCGAGGACGGCAGGGGACAGGTTACCAGACCCGTGTGTCCACAGCCGCGGGGCTACCGAGGGGAGAGTCACCCTCTCCGAGTCCACAGCGCCCTACTGGGACCAGCGCTTCCCCCACTAGGGCAACACTGGTGGAACCGTGTGGGGCGGGGAGGCGTTTCCCATGCTGCAGTAACCGGGACGGAAAACTGTAGTCCACCTGAGCCATGCAGGAAGATCAGAGAAGCGCTGTGTCTCCCAGCCGGCGACACCATGCAGCTCTGCAGGCGAACTGAACCCGACGTAGCCGCCATGACTGCCGCCACGACTAGAGATTCACGAGCCCCGCCCTTACGTTGTCCCGCAGGCCCGCGCACGTAGGCTGGCAGGGGGCGCGCCTCGAGACGCGCATGCGCAGTCGGGCTACGCAGTCCTGCCTCCGGGTGAAGTCTGAGGCAGTTAGGCTGTACTGAGGCTTTGGTTTTGCCACGACTGGTATCGTACAGGTGACCCCTTCGGTAAGGCACGGATATACTTCTTTGCTGTAGGATTTTCAACTGCAGTTCGAAAACTCAGGATTGCTTTTGATTTGGAGAAATATTGGTGTTATGATGTTTAAAATTTAACATATAATAACCATATTTTACCTTCTGTGAGACTTACACAGGATGTTTGTAGCATTTTATATAAGGATAAGACAGCCATGTAATAATAACTCTTCGTGTAGTTTATAAAAATAGTTTGCTTAGGAAAATCTGACTGAAAGAGGTACCATTTCATACCTATTAGGGGGCCATTTTTTTTGTTTTTTTGTTTGGCGGCACGCGGGCCTCTCACTGCTGTGGCCTCTCCCGTTGCGGAGCACAGGCTCCTGACGCGCAGGCTCAGCGGCCATGGCTCACGGGCCCAGCCACTCCGCGGCACGTGGGATCTTCCCGGACCGGGGCACGAACCCGTGTCCCGTGCATCGGCAGGCGGACTCTCAACCACTGCGCCACCAGGGAAGCCCTAGGGGCCATTTTTTTAAAAAAAATTAATTTTATTTATTTTTTATACCACAGGGTCTTATTAGTTATCTATTTTATACATATTAGTGGTTTTATGTCAATCCCAGTCTCCCAATTCATCCCCCCTGCCCCACTTTCCCCCCTTGGTGTCCATAGTTTGTTCTCTACCTCTGTGTCTATTTCTGAAGGTGGCCATTATTGAAAAAACAAAGTAAGTGTTTGTGGAGAAGTTGGAACACCTGTAGATTGCTGAGGGGAATGTAAAATGGTGCAGCAGCTGTGGAAAAGTTTGGCGGTTCCTTAAAAAGTTAAACAGAATTACCATATGATTTAGCAATGCTCGTTCTAGGTATACATACAAAAGAAATGGAAGCCTCAGATACTTGCACACCAGTGTTGATAGCATTATTCACAATAGCTAAAAGGTGGAAATAACTGAAGTGTCCATGGATGGGTGGATGGAAAAGAAAATGTGGTATACACATACAATGGAATATTATTCAGCCTTAAAAAGGAATGAAATTCTGATACATGCTACAACACAGATGAACCTTGAAAATAAACTGGACGTAAAAGACAAATATTTTATGATCCCACCTATACGTGGTCTCTAGAATAGACAGATTCTTAAAGACAGAGTAGAGTAGAATAGTGGTTACCAAGGGCTTTAAGCCAGGGTGGGGGGCTGGGCGGGGGGGGGGATGATGGGAAGTTGTTGTTTAATGGGTACAGAGTTTCTGTTTGGGATGATGAAAAATTTCTGGAAATGGTGATGGTTATACAACATTGTGAATGTGCTTAATGCCACTGAAACTATACACTTAAAAATGGTTAAAATGGTAAATGTTTTGTTATGTATATTTTATCACAATTTTTAAAGTACCAAAAAAAAAAAAAGGAATTGCTTTCTATATCAAGGCCTAATCATAGGCATCTTTTAATACTGAGGGCTTCAGTCCCAGCAGGTGGCTCACTCCTCATGTAAAATTCAGCAAACAACCCAGTGGAACTTTAAGAGCCATTAAACACCAGCCTTCCATTCATTGTAGTCTGCTCCATATTTAAGCAATTGCAACATACCTTTTATTTGTTCAAGGTAATTATGCTACTCCCAGGTGACTAAACTGCTTATCTTCAGATGCCAAGATAAGCTCTATGCTGTCAGTGTTATACCAATGCTGTCCCTGGGAATGGCCCTACATGCCAGTAGTTCACCAGATCAAAAAGGAACTCGTTTTCTTTCACAAGCCTCTAGATCTTCAGCAGAGAGTACTGAGAATGAAGTCATTAATGAGGACAGGCTGGGATGGGTAGAGCTCTGATAGCCAATTCTCAAAAATTGCTTATAGATTAGGATTGACATATATACGCTACCATGTGTAAAATAGATAGCTAGTGGGAATCTGCTGTAAAGCACAGGAAGCTCAGCTTGGTGCTCTGTGATGACCTAGATGGGTGGAATGGGGGCATGGGCTGGGAGGGAGGTCCAAGAGGGAGGGGATATATGTATACATATAGGTTGATTCACTTCATTGTACAGCAGAAACTAACACAACATTGTAAAGCAGCTATACTCCAAGTAAAAAAAAAAAAATTACTTCTGTCTCTAGATCAGCCTTCCCCACTTGAATTCTCGATAACTTTCAAGAGCCAGGTGAGAAGAGGGCAGTGCTATACGAGGAGTGACCACTGGAGATATGCCAGGTAAGGCTTTGAGTTCTACTCTTAGAACTCCATTTACTGCCAAAAAAACTTTTTGTGCACTGCCGCATGCTTTTGAAATGGCAAAAAAATCAGAAATATAATTATTATTATTATTGCTAATAATAGTAAAATAGTAATAGTAAAAAAGAGTAAAACATTGGGACTTAACTAGGTATCATAAGTAAATTCCCATAAAACCGAGACAGGCTGGAATCTGGGACCCTTTGCTGCAGTACTTGCACCTGGACAGACGTCTCCTGCAACATACAAAGAAACTATAAGGGACTAAAAATAACTGCATGCATGCTGCAGTTGGGTCAAATAATGAACAACAAGATACAAAAAGACCAAAAACCCAATTGCCACTTCTGAAGAGCCAGGAGCAAAATCAGGGGACTGCATGCACATGCCGCCTGCACACAGCACCACCAAAGGCGTAGGCAGACCATCTAAGGCACCCCTCTGGCCTGACCCTTGGACACATGCCTCCCCTCACCCCATATAAGGAACTAGCTCTCCCCCGTCTCCAGGGAGCAAGCAAGAGGACCTGTTGCTTGTTCTTGCTGCCTGCGGCTGCAGCAGGGGCCCCAATAAAGCCTTGCCTGAATTTCTTGTCAGGTCTCTTATCAATTCCTATTGATTAAGGAGGCCAAGAACCCTGGTCGGTAAGAAAACTGTGCACTATTACTATCTGTTTTTGCCAGTGAGGCTCAGAGGGGTAAAGAACTTGGCTCAAGCTCATACTGCCAGTCATTTGTAGAGCCTTGCTTTGTATATTGGTTCTATCTGATGCCAAAGTCCAGTCACACACATTTACACAGTAGCTCACAAAAATTAGGGTATGTCCCAACTCTTCTATTTTAGGAAGAAAAATGCTTCTGGGATTTAGATTGTAGCCCTTTAGAGTCTCTATCGATTAGGAGATCTGTGTTTCTTCAGATTATCCCCAAGTCTCCTGGTTTTAATTCCTGGTTTGCTCCTCCACCTTGAATGAGCACCAGTTCACCTTGAATGAGCATCACTTTGAGCAGGTAGATAAGCTGTACCTGAATGCTGGGATTCTGAGTTTCACCTAGAACTTGAGCCTTCCCACGTTTAGGATCATTATTGGAATAAGCCGGATTCTTATAAACCTAATCAAAATACTCTTTTATTTCCAGTGATTTCAATGCTTAGCTATTGTTGCTATTCCTTTCATCTTTATTCATAGAACAAACAGAAGGTTTTAGATTACTGTATTTAGAAATGCCATCTGGTAGGAAACTGTTGAACAAAAATGTTTTGTTCCTTTCATGTAACTTGTTTTGTAACTTTCATGTTCCTTTCATGCATTACTTTGCAATGTAATTAAGTCCTAGGATGGTTGTTTGCTTCTTTTCTGGTGGATCTTTTGCTCTTTTGAACTTGGGGGAAGAGTTATCCCTGGAAGATTTTTCTTCATACATTCTTTTACTCTTTGTGTATCTCTTAATTTTTTTGTTTTTTACTCGTTTCCTTTCAGCCAATCTATATGCCCATTATTGATGCACTCCCTTTTGGTAACTTCAGTGTTTAACCTCAGAAAAACAAGTAAATAAAATAAAAGCGAAAAACAAACAAAAACAAAAACCCTCCCTTTTTGCAGTGTTTCAATATCTATTGGGATCTAAAGATAAATGGTAAGGTGAGAGTTTAGTTTGCTGTGACACTGTGTTTAGAAATCCTTTAGGACACACTTATTGGCTTCAGAAAGATGATTGTAAGATAAGCCATTTAGAGTAGTATATTTGGTACTTTCAAATGATCACAGTTAATTGGTAGCACTTTAGTCATCAGACAATACACAGTTTATGCATTTGTTGTTTTCCTCATTCTTGAGCATCAAATCTTACCCTCTTTGCGTTGGTTGGTTTTTATCTGTTGCATTATTCAGAGAGAGAAACACATGTACATTAACAGTACATACACATTGGACAAAATATCTCAGTGTTAGGTAATACTTAAAATTTTATAAACTAACAAAGTAAGTTCCTTTATACTTCCCCTTATCCATTTATGAAAGAAAAACTAAAAAATACTTAAAGGTCCTGAATTCTTATTAAACAATAAGAATGAACTTTTTAGAAATGAATGGCTGTATGAGATTATATAAACTTTAGTATAGCCATTTCCTCAGTTCTAGGGACCTTAAGTTTTTTCAGTTCAGTCCTTCTAAATGCAGGTGTGGGGAATCCTCCTTTTTTAACCCACTACTCCTACTAGATATGCATGGCAGACATGGGGCCATTTCACAGCAGATGGGTCACCTGGGGTATTGTGAGCTAGGCTGAGGCAGCATGGGGGGATGACACATGAGTTACTCAGATACGGACTAAATACAATCTTGGAACATGGGCACTTGGCACTCCTGCTGGACTATTCACAGTCAGAGTGATTCACACCAAAGCAGTGTACAGGACTTTGTTAAGGACGGTGGAAGTTTCTGCTTCAGACGTAGGCTGGGTGGTCAGTGTATGTGACTGGAAACTGCAACAATGTTGTTTGCATTGTGACATGGCTCTTCTTTAGGAAAGGGATCACCTCCATTTTGAGCACTTCCCATGACCAGTTCTCATATTCCTAAGCTAT